GAAGTTCGTTACAGATACGTAGAAACTATTTTAAGTTTAAAGCATGGCATAGACAGGCATATAGCAAGTATGAAGATGTCTCTCAATAAGATGCTCATGAACGGCTTCTGTATAGATATTGCTGAGTGATATTATTTCTCAAGCCACGCAGTCCATGCAGTCAAAATTAGTCACCCCGCATTCATATACGGAAATTTTGGCCATAATTTCAAAATTTAAGGTAAATTTTATATATTTCAAAGTCAGTTGAGACTAATTTGATTCTAAATGTTTGTATATTCTGTGGCAAAATTATTTCTTCACACTAATCACAAGACTCTGCAAGAACGTAATTTCAATCACTTGGGCGTCCACGAAGAGCTTCACACATCTCGCATCAGTTTATTGCTCTGAGATGAGAAATTTTCTATAATTGTCACTCAGAAACAATTGCGTGTATTGATTTTATTAGACTTCCTTTGAGCAAGATTTCATTCGAACTTTTAGTCGGCTTACTTACCTTCCTGAGAGTCCTTCAAGAATTTCAAGTGTCGCCTCAAATTCTCAGCGAAGGTCTCGTAAACAAAGCTCATGTTGCTGTAATTAAAGATGTTGCTGCTCCGGTAATGATTATGTTACAGGCAAAGTTATTTTCTTAATTATTATGCAAGGTTATACGTGAAGAAATAATTTGAGCTTAAATGAACTATTTTGCAATAGTTGAGTCTTGGCTACTGTATCGATAAGACAGGGATTATGATGCGAGACGGAAGATACAGTAATTTCTCCAGTTGAGATTATCCCCTTTGTGGCGCAATAGTTTTCATCTATGAAAGTATTCAGAGATGATATGGGGATTTGCTGGCTGCAGGACGGGAAAAAATTCAAGACAAGTCTGCTTATTGTTAAATTTATTTGGATGAAAGAACGTCATAGAATATTATTACATCACGTGAGAGAAATATTCTGTTGGTAAACTAATCCACTTACAACGTATAAGTGTGCACTATGGAGCCCTAAAGTAATGGGTGCATTTTTTAAATAACTATTCATGCGGTCTAGAATTATCATAGAATTAGTTATAAATTAATAGGTTAGTGCAGATATGCGTCGGCGTGTTTTCAAAGACAAGGGAAAATTGAAAAATTATTCAAACATTGACAAATTAATGAAAATACTTCAAGTGAATTCAGTACACTTACAAAGCCTTTATTTAAATGTGCATAAATTTATTCATCCCGAAAATGCGAGTATTTCACCATTATCGGGTTAATATGGCATTCTCAATATTTCTTCCGTTGCTCTTGTATGATTTCTCACACAATTCAACTTATCGAGATATGAATAGTGACTAATGTACAATTTTATCTTCGTTAATAACATCATGCCATTACTTCGGCGAAATAAATCCAATGTAATATATATCGCAGTGAATAAACTGCGGACTTCAGAATTTGTACAGACATATACTGAGAGCCCCTGAGCTGCACCTGCACAACAAAGGCTAGCTTAGATTTGCGACAATGTTGAAGTAAGGCAGGCTCCCATCCGGCTCATTAGATCCGGGAACCTCTCGTGGATATTGAGGTCCACAAAGGGAACAGTTCCTTGGAATACTCAGGGGACAATGCTAATATCTCGACAATCTTGGTGGGGACAATTACGCATGGGTGTGCGTCTGAGTAATAGTCGATGCATGCGGTTGAGCAGCATTCAGCATAATGATGCGCTCAACGTACCCTCGAGATCGTTCGTTAAGTCTGTTGGTCTGCTTTGAGCAGCTCAATGGTGTGGAATGTAGGCACTGAATGCAAGGGCAAAATTTAATTGTACAAATACAGACTTAACTGGGCCCTTTATTGAAGACGCACACAGAGCTAAAGACTTTCACCGCAATGGATAAAAGATTCAAAATGAACGCGAATAAATAATTTTCTTCGAAAATAAGCAGTGAGTCATGTCATGATAAAACATTGACGCTTTGATATGAACAAATTCTTTAGTTCAGACACTTGAATACATGTCGTGTAGAGCATTAAGGAAGGCGTTGACTTGACAGCGTTAATGTGCTTGTTCGGGCCTATAAATTCCCCAAAGCCTGCGATTCTCATCAAGATGCCTTAAAAGAAACAAGCGATCGATGCCACCCGCTGAGAGGAAACTCCGACACAAGGGATAGAAGGAGGGAGATGTTACGTTACCCAGGACGGCAGTGCAGTGCTAAAGGGAGCGACAATATATGGAAACAGTGAAAAGAAATACTATGTAGTACGTGACGTCATGCCTCAACTCATTCACCGTAGCTGTCAACCAATTAAAAAGGAGGGAAATTTTTTTTATATAATCATGAACAAAGAATGAATTCTGTTTTGATTAATATGCAGGCTTTACAAAAAAATCAAGACTAAAAAAATAATCCAAACACAATAGGTATAACATCAAATGTTGCTATAATAGTAAGAATTTTAAATGACTAAGCGGGACTCTAATGAATTCTTGTTTACAAAAGTATCGCATATTGTTTTCCATAGTGTGCAGCTTTCGCATTCGAACAATCTTAACAGATTTCATGCATAAATTTTATTCAGAACCATGGATTACAATCGTTTTTACAAGATGTACAAGTATTGTTCTCCGAGAAATTTTTTCAAATTTACTGTTTGCAACGCATTATTTTCAATGTTGTTCTCGACTGAAAACATAATTTCTTTTAAATATTTACTTAGACGTAATTTGTATTCTCAGGGGATATATTATGATGTTTTTTTCTTACATATTATTATGATCGTTATCCAGTATGTATACTATGGTCCACTATAGAGTAGGGAGCCTGTCAAAGTTCACTTTTTTTCTGCATCCCAAATACTTGAATAAATCTTTTGGTCGAATTGGCACGATCGCGATAGAAATCTTCAGGCTCGAATAGGTATTTTAAAAAATGATTTTAATTATAGCCTTCGACCATTCATAGTTTGCATAGAATAGGTTCTATGCCTCCATGAATGCTTATTAGCTTATGAGCTTATGAGAAAAATGAAGTTAATTTAGTGAAAAAATTGTGCTAAAAAATAATTTGCATAGGATACAAATTCACCCTTGTTATTAATGTTAATTTATTAGCATTGAAGTGATAACAAATAAAAGATCAGCCTGAAACGAAGAGTTTCTTTGTAAACTCTCCATCTCCCCTTTACGTCAAGCAAGCGTCCTCGTCCCTTGGGAGGCAATAGCTGTCTGGCTGAGCCAGGCTCTACAGAGCGTTCACTAATTATATCGTAGACAACCCAGGTAAAACTCACCAGAAATTAACTTCTGTGTTCTGATACAGTTAAGAAAAGTTTATTCAGAATATTGTTAGACTTGTTGATTATGTCTCCCTGAATGTCGTGAGAACAAATGCAATCTATCACTTGTAAAAATAGAATTTATTGGATTAAATCATTGAGTGGATTCTTATAGTTATATACGAGTATATAATCTGAATATTCGAGCTCTGGCTAATCTTTGTATTGTTAGGGATTGAAATCGTCAATCTTTTTATATTTATCTATGAGACACAAATTTTGGGTTTAAATGTAGTTTATTATTAGAAATTTTAAATGGTCGTTTTCGTTTCGAATTTATCGACGGTAAAGTCTCGACGGCTCAGATGAGCAATTATTGAGCCGTGTAAAACCGGAACGAAGGTACGTGCTACCTGAGGACTTGATGAGAATAGCCAAATAAAGATTGTGAATAGATATGTAAATATTTAGATTAATGTTCAGTGATTAATTAGGTTCTGTTAACATTATACTAACTCAGTTAGATTCCGGTTAGTTTGTTATTTGTAAGTTATTATATTAATTTTTTACCCTGAAATCTCACGACCTAAGCTCCTGTGCCAAAACTTGAGTTAGTTCCGCGAAGCACACCAAGGAAGCAGGCACGAACTAAATTGTAAACGTTCATTAGTGTTTATTCAAAATTGTAGTGTACAGCACGTTGATTAGTCAGTTTGTTGTTATGAAAGACAGCAGCGCGATAAATTATTTTATTTACTATTTCACAGTAATTCCCAGCTCGTTGGTGAGTTCTTAGAGCCCCAACAGTATCGCCCCTGAAATTGAGTGCTCACTCGAAATATTTTCCAGCACGGTTATGAAACTGCTGAGAATAACCAAAGGAATTTCTTTGTTCACTATTTTAAGCGCGGGTGATTTAAAAGAGAAAAATTTAATTTGTACATAAACATTTCATAGAACTTCAGAGTTATTGTCTTGAAAAATTCTTAGAAACATTCTATTTGTTAAGAATATTTTGATTTTCTGAGAATAATTTTCTAGCTTATTTTAATGGAGGTGATGCATTTTTGACTATGCAAATTACCGTCTGGGAGGCAAGGGTCGCATTGTACAGGCTGTCCGTCACTCCGTCACGACCTCGATAATAGATTAACTTTCAGGGGGTCTTTATTTTCTTGGCCGACTTTGCAAAACTTCGTTCGCTTACTTGAAAACGAGAAAAAATGAGTGCCATTACAACTTTTTCAGCAAGTATTGCAAAGAGGTGGATAACATGCAAAAGATTATAAAAAATGTCGTGAGAAAGTTAATTTAAAATTTTATATTTCAATATTGATTAAAAATGAATGTATAACTAGTAACGATTCTTATCATGTTAGTATTTACTTATTATTATTTACTTTACTACAGACTTATCAATCGGTTATTAGCAAATGAAGAAAGTATTCTGCGATCAAATACATCTGTCCTGCAAAATTTTTTTCGAATCACCAGTCCGATTTTGAACTGCACCTGATATTTATTTCAAACGTGGCTTGCATGAATCGGAAACTGAGAAGATAACATTGCAAGTCTTCATTAACAACTAACAAATCTGTGCGCAATAACCTATAAAGGTTCATTAATCAGCATAAATCGCACACATACAAATAAAAAATGTGTCTAGTAGGTACTCTACTTAACTGCCAATAAAATATCATAGATAATGAAAATTAAATAGATAAATGCACTGAGCAGAGGATGCGTCGTCTCTGCCGCGCTTCCTGGAGCCCATCCCGAACAAGACGGTGGTGGTGGGCAGAGATGTTATCCTGCCTTGCTCTGTGGACAACCTCAAGGGATACAAAGTGAGCTCTCATAGTGACAGTTCCTTCAGACGTGAGAGTCAGGTTCAGTATGCTTAAACTAAAAGTATTCTATGAATATTAATTAGAATACCGTTGAAATAGCATTTAAAAATAATCAATTTATTGTTTATAATATCCATATATCATTAGTATATTTATTTATATTATTTCATCAAGCCTTTAACTATTTTAGTCCGCATTGCATGGTTCTTCTAATTAGGCATTGATGGATAGACTACTCACTCAACGATTTTAATTTTACTATGCATTATTTTCCCGCAGGAGATCGAGCTTTGAATAAAAATAAATTATACCACAAAATAAATTTCCATTAGAGAAGGTTCATAGTTTTATGTTCATCATGCAGAGTTACAAACTAAATTCATTGTGAAGCTGTTGTACTTAAATGATTTTGAATGGCAGTTAGATATTGCTAAATGATATATTTTAAGAAAGAAATTTTATCCGTTTGTGCAAAAGGTGGCTTGGATCTTCGTGGAGACGCAGACAATCTTGACGATACATCACACGATAATTAGCAAGAACCCACGTTTTTCCTTGGCACGGAACGACCACAAACACTGGTACCTCCGCATCACCAACGTCAAGCCCTCCGACCGCGGGTACTACATGTGCCAGGTCAACTCTGACCCCATGATGAGTCAGAAGGGCCTCTTAGAAGTTCAGGGTGAGTACTGATGGATGATCTCGGGCTATCTAGAGTCTATAGACTTATAGAGTATTTGGGGGAATTCTACATCATTCTCACTTACCCGCTCATGAACCAAGTTGTCATGCCACTGCTGTTTCAGGCTGTGGTGACTGTAACGCTACTCTACACTTGTCATGACGGTGGGTTGTACTATGGGTTTGGTTGAACGACTATATACAAGGAGTTCAGACCCATAATATTTATCTTATTGTCATTAACATCCAGTTTAATTCGGGTTCGACGAGATACAACATAGATTTGTCACGTCTCTCAAATTTCCGTCTGAGTGCGGGTTATAATGAAGACTGGCCTGGCTCAACTAAGTACGGAAAAGATATTCTATTTGTTCCCGAGTGAACACAGCGTCTCATAATCAACAGCTAGGATGTTTAATCAGTTCAGTGTATGAGTGAATTCCCTAGGAGTTCCAAGAAAAGCTGGGTCATCGTCTGCTGGTTTCTAATATTATCATCACTCGATCCGCTGACTAAATCAATTTAGACTAATGCTGAGTAAGAAGAGCTTACTAAAAGTACAGGATGAGCAACCATAGATACCTGAAAGCAATATTGACTCGGAAAGTAATAAGACCAATATTTCAGAGAAGAGTGGACATATAACTTGTTTGAAATAGAAGTTCATTAATCGCCAAGTAGTTTTTTTTATTAATTATACCCTTTGGTGGAATATTTCAAATAACTTATTGTGAATTTGTACATGTAGAAAATGGCTATTATGGTTGTTTAACAAATCGTCTTGTAGTTATATCTATACAGAACGATACCGAGCTCTATACGATGACAAAAAAATAAAATAAAAGGCTTTCATGTCGAAAGAAGAATAGTTGTGTTCATTTACTGCGTACAAATTCAAAATAAAATTAGTTAACTATTCAGACGCACAAACAATCTCGAGATTTTTTTAAATTAGTGCAACTAAGTATTTAATGAATAACGAAGTCACGTGAAACGAAAAATGAAACGAACTTGAAAAGATCTTGTAACACTCCCTTTTGGGCTGATTTTTCAGAAGATTTTATTAACGGTATTGATTTGTGTTATGTTCACAACACGCGCACATGAGACGCAACGCGGCAAAAAGACGGCGGGACTGGCGAACAAAAAAATTAACGCACCCGATCCTGAGTGTAAGATGAGGCCAAAGCCTTGGAGTTTTTGAAAGACGTAATGTGTAGAAATATTTACAGGCAGCTGCGAAAAAATTACCAGATGAGAGCACCAATTAATATATGAAGTAGTTGATAAAAATCATAAATTTATTTACGTCGATTGAACACAAATGATTTCAAAAGTCATATAGATCTAACTAAAGAGAAAAGCGGGTATTTCGTCGTGGACTTCTTCTTGAAGCAGCTGAGAAAAAGTAGGAAAATGTCGTGTAAAAAACGTGGGGTGGGAAGGAGGTTGCCTCCTCTGGGACGGGAGGGGAAAGCAATACCAGATGAGGGCAATTGCTCAAATGGAATTGTGATTAAAACGCCTGGCGTGGCGCGGTGAGGAGGGAGTGATGGCGCTGGTGATGCCTCTGACCAACACCTTGTCTCTGCTTAATGGACAAGTAGAACTAATTGAAATACGAGCTCTTTAAACGCGATGCTTCTTTATTAATAAGACCACAACATGTTTCTTATTATGTACCTGTTAACGGATGGAATTAATTCTAGACTTTTTAGTTGAACAGTGCGGCCTTTAAAGAGAATTGAATACCAATTATGTTACAGCGATTGAACATTCACCAAATAATAGGCAAGAATCACCAATACGTGTGAAAAAGTCATGCACCGGCACGGTGAGAGGAAGGCAGCAACAAATGCGCTACTCGGCCGTCGTTTGACCTCCACTAAAAAGAGAGCAAAGCTTCTCGGTCGGAAGTTTTGGGAGCTCTTTGTCTTAATTTGAGCAACTTATTTAGTTGGTGATTTAGTAAAAGTTTGGCTGGCAAGAGTATTGTGTTGTTGGGTAGATTTAAACTTAAGAAACTCACCTAAAGTCCTTGCAAGCTGAGATTTTCGGATTAGCGCTGTGTTACTCGACCTGATATTGCGATATCTTTCGAGCCTTGCCGAGCAAAATGCCGAGCAAAAACTATGATAATAACCTTAAACTACATCGCACCACATATGTTAGGTAAGAATAACATGTTGGTTTAGCGGAGAACTTTTCTGAATAGGAATTAAATGGCTTGTTGGTTTATCCAAGTTTGAAATCCCTCCACACGCCACTCCATTGACGAATAACACGCTCAATTTGGAAAGGTTTGCAATAAAATAGAATGATAGAAGGAATATTCTGAGTCGTTAGGAAATCCATATTCGTTTTTCCAGATCTGAAAAATTACTGACATCTCAGAACATCGCTTTTTGAGATAAAATTCTATCAGTAAAAGCTCTTGAATAAAACTCGAATCAAATGTTATCAATAAATAAGACAAAAAATTTGAATTATAAAGAGTAAAAAAGATTTGCGTTCACTGAATGAACTTGCAGTTTTTCATGAGGAAGTTTCAATAATAGAATAATAATTCTCCTTGCTATAGGTAATTAAGTTGTCACTGGTTACGCCAAACAATACCAGAAATGCGCCAAAAATTTCCTATCTTCATTAAAAACATACTCAATTATCCTGAAAAATATCTACTCAAAGAAATAAGGCTTCCACTAACACTCGAAGAGAGAAAATAGGAAATAGTGGATGTTATGCAAAATAGTGACTCATACCATGAATCCTGTTGCTTTCTCAGTAACAAGATGCTTGATGAAATCCACAAGAAAACCAATTTTACGACTCAGTTTTAAAATTTTGTGCTGTATATTTCCCAGAATAAATTTCTTGCTTCCTTGACCTTTTATGGCAGTTTGCTTCATCCGGTATTGCTTGGCGACGCTTCCGGCACTCCGTTCCGCCGGACTCATCCGCAGTCTTTACGACCGTCTGGCCAACTTCTCCTCTACACTTGACAAAATTTTCCACGATCGCGACGATAAAAGTTCTTTTCTCCGCTCCTTGGAGTAGATATTCCGTCTGGTCTCGTAACACGCATAATTCGGGCTGCGAATACAGCGTTATGCTTTCACTACCGTTTTATGGAGAAGTAACAACTATGAAAAATTTGTAATCCATGAAATGTTGATTTTTACGACTTTTGTTTGTAGGGTCGATGTTGTGATGTGATGATATGGTCATATATATGATACATCACAACTCATGTGATGATAGGGTCATTCAAATTCAGTAAAATGAATTGGTCATATTGTTCAAATAGAGACACGTTTTCTTACCTACAGCCCGAGCACAGCGAGAGAGGATGTAACGCTGGAGCACATTTTTATTTAGCCAGGCTGGGTCCGTATATGACCTACGGAAGCGAAAAAACAACATCGCTATTTGGACAATAACCATATTATTTCTATGAGAGTGGCTGACAAGAAGGGGAGTACATATTGAAATTAATTAATAACAAACGATAATGTTCGATCGAAAGTGGTGTTCTTCTGTAGGCATCCGACATCTTGCAATGGTATTCATAGCATCCAAAGGCCGAGTGATTCACCGCTCAGAGTTCATCTCGAGTAATACCGCGAATTTTATTATTCATTTCACACTTTTGCAAAACCTTGGCAACAACGGAACACTTTAACCGTAACCAAGAATTGAGCGCGTCTGTAGTCAGGTTTAACGTTGAAGTGGTTTAAAACCGATGTCAATTTAGGAAATTTCTTTGACTCATTTCTCTTCCGAGATCCTTTTCATCCGTTTGATTATTATCGATTGAGTCACGTGTGACTAAGTCATTAACGAATTAGTAATGATTAAAGTGATTTAAGGGACAGTGAATCTCTCCCAGTTGGGGTCTCATAAAATCACACTATATCAATCGTTATTGTAGGCGTGCAGACGCTCCTGTATATTTTTAGTTCTCATTATGTTAAAGGATGGAATAACAACCGAACGAGATTATCGAAAAAATATGAATCGATTTCATCAAATGAATGATTGTTGAAACTATCCTTGCCTAGATTTGGCATTTCTAATTCTGCTCCACCTCTTGCTGAGCTTAGGATCCTCTATGAATGAATCGAATAATTGTGTATTTGTGTTCCGCATGATGATGGTTTCATTAACGATGTTAATTTTTAATGGAAGCAATGCTTTTTTTATTATAAAGTTACGTCACCATTGCCCACGTTACTCTTTAGCAAACAAGTCATTGGTCTATTTAATAAATTGATTTTTTATTGTTCACGGACTAAACGAAAGCATCACATTCGATCCTAAACTTTTTAACGAGTTTAAATGAACATCCAATACTATTAGGACAGAATTTTACAAAATACCTACATTACCAATAGGGTAATAGACTTATTTGTCTCGTGTATGACGTCCTAGATAAGTCATGAATCTTATATAAGTTAAATAAATAAAAATAGTGGTCTCGAATTTGGGTATAAAGTTATTTTTGGTGTTCACAGAGCCGTCCAACATGAGAGATGACATTTAATTGTAATTATTTCGTCCTAAAAACAGGATTTTCATTATAAATATTTCCACCGTGTATCGCGGTAGAGTTTTGTTCTAATTATATCGAAACAAAATACTGAATGGCGTTATCTTCGCTCGGACGCAATGCCATCAGACATCGTACATAAATTAAAATAATTAAATCGATTCAAAATAAATGAATTATATCGTCACAAAAATTTGCCTAACTCAATTCTTGCATGTACATAGTGCCACCACACGTCGTATAGATGAGTTTCAAAATAATATCGTCACAAAATCATGATAACCAAATTTTTTTCATGTATACAGTGCCACGACACGTCGTATAGTTGAGTTTCAAAGTAATTATATCGTCACAAAAACAAGCCTAACCTATTTTTTCGTATACATAGTGCCACGACACGTCGTAGTTGAGTTTCATCGTAATTATATCGTCACAAGATCAGCATAACCTAATTTTTACGTGTACATGGTGCGATGACACATCGTTGTTGAGTTTTAACGTAATTATAACGTCACAAAAACAGCATAACCTAATATTTTCATGTACATAGTGCCACCACACATCGTAGTTGAGTTTCAAAGTAGTTATATCGTCACAAAAACCAGCATAACCTAATTTTTGCATGTACATAGTGCCACCACACGTTGTTATTGAGCTTCAAAATAATTATATCATCACAAAATCATAATAACCTAAATTTTGCATGTATACAGTGCCCCCAGACATCATAGACGAGAAGTCGAGCAGCGAGGTGGTGGTGCAGGAGGGCAACGACGTGACGCTGCGCTGCCACGCCACAGGGTCGCCTAAGCCAACCATATCCTGGAAGCGAGAGGACGGCGGCCAGATCAACCTCAGCAAGGGCATCAACTGTGAGTACTGTATTAGCTTTGAAAACACAGTATATTGATTAGGATATGGAATCATTGCTGACAAAAGTCGCACTGACTTGCAGGATATTTTTTATCTTGTATTAAATTGTAGCTTCTTATCATGCTGGTGATAATGCCGATCCTCATATGGGCCGATTAAGGCAAAGGAACAAACGATTATCATTAGTTTAATGGTTTAAATTGATTGGTTTGGCGCTTGTGGAAGTGCGTGTCCCGGTTACAATAATATCAGCCAGATTAATTGCCTAATTTTTTGGCTTACTGATTTTTAAACAATTAAATTAATGGAACCTACGTCACAGTCGAGAACAGTGATACACGAAATTTATTTCTCAAAGCTTCACTGGGCGCGTCATTTTCTCACTCTGGCCGCTTCAGACGACGTCGTCAGTCGCGCGTGAGCCCGTTGAGCAAAGCGCTTCAATATGACAAGCCCGGGCAATAATTCACTTAAGGGTGTTATGCATTCACGCTGTGCTAGCCCACATAAACTCTTCCTTATTTATTCAATTATTTATTCCAAGGAGTGCCCTCGTGAGGCCTCATTTCCATGCAAGCGACACAGCGGTGAAGCGCGCACTGTTTGCATCGAGAATTCGTGGGCGGTGATAAGAGATGGAGTACAAACGGCATAAAATATGACGATGCTGTAGTTTTGATTTGATTTCCTGCTATCATTTTGTTCACGTTCTATATCGTTTCTATAAAAAGGTTCAGTTTATGGATTTTAAAGCCGGGTTTTAAACATGACTTGACTAAACTAATATCCTGCAGCAACCAGGATGAATCACACAGGGTTTTTATTAATATGAGTTATGTGTTCATATACGTGCATATTTTATGTTTATTTGCTACCACGGAACTACTCAAAAGATGCTGAGATAACTGAGCTATGTTGACACAAATTGTTGTTTATTTTTATTAAAACAGAATAACCCACGCATAGTGTTTACAGATGTTGTAGCATCTCGTCAATAACAAATAGAAAATTTCGCAATGTTTGGTCATCTGCGCATATACGTGACATATAAAAGAGATTTGTTGTTGATAAAAAACTCTTTTTGTCGCTTTATTTGCTCAACCTTTATACCTTTATTTTACAGTGTACACATGATAACAATATATAATCGCATGGTGGCTGGTACACAAAAATTATTATATATGGTTATATTATACATCCATGTTATAACGTTACATAATATATTAACGTTAATAAATATTGAACTGAAATGTTACATATTTCGCAGAAAGAGCTTGGACCTGGCAAGGGCATCAAATATGTATAAATAAATAAAAATTATAAATTCAGAAAATTACATAGAACATGCTAAGTAAGTACTTTCATATCAAACGTTTCACCAGATACTCATTTGATTGTAGCAAACTGCAGTATCAGAATGAGAACAACACAGCAAATTTAGTGGGAAAAACTCGCCACAAAATACCGCAGTGCGCCCTGGTGCGCATTGAGCATCGCAGTGCTCAGTGTGCACCGCATTGCATCCTAGTGCGCAGTGAGCGCCGCAGTGTGCCCTGGCGCGCAGTGAGCACCGCAGTGCGCGTGGTCCGCAATGAGCACCGCAGTGCATCCTAGAGCGCAGAGAGCACCGCAGTGCGCGTGGTGCGCAGTGAGCACCGCAGTGCATCCTAGTGCGCAGTGAGCACCGCAGTGCGCAGTGAGCGCCGTGGTGCGCAGTGAGCACCGCAGTGCGCATCAATCGCATTTAGCGGTGGCGGAGGTCAGCGCGCACTCAGAGCACGTGCGGCGGCCGAGCTCCGACACTCGCACTGATTGAGCGCCGCGCCCCCGCCGCCCCCTACCCGCCAGGGGGGGCTAGACGCCCCCCTCCCCCATCTTTGTTTTGCTCGGTTCTTTACTTACACAACAGACAGTAGCCAACGCAAAAAAATAAATTATTGATAAATAATTGAGAATTATTCTGCTGTTATATTATTTGTAGCGAAATCAATAATTATAACGTCAGTAATTACAATGTATTCATTGATTGAGAGGAGATGCAAACTTTAACCTTGAAATCAGTTCAGTATAAAATATGAATCGATAGCTGAATACTTCAACCAACATTAATGAAAAACTATTTCTTCGTCGCTCAATGAGCTTCTTTCAAATATCCTTCGACAACGGCCCGCAATTCATTTAGTTCAGTTCTTTCATAAAATTCGTTAGCGAAGAAATATGACGACAGATCACATGTTTCCTTAAGAGCAACTGCTATGTTTCTGCTCAAGTTTGTACGTTTGAACCCCGGAACGCGACCCATGCATGGGAACAAGTTACCGCGAGCTCCCAGCTACTCTCCTCTTTCTGCCAACTTTCCGCGGCTTCCGGAGTGCCAGATTTATTGGGAGTGTTTCCTGTAGTGTCGTCTTCTCCCCATTATCTCCCATCCCTCTTCTTCAGTGCCGGGCAAAGCAAGAGTTCTTATCATCCAGGGTTGGCTCGCACGCAGACTCCTTTGTTGGACTCAAGCGTTACAAAACCGGCAGTAAATTTGCTGATTTTTCAGAGAGCCATCTTCCAGAGCCTCCGCTCTGATCAACTGGGTTATATATACAACATATATTTGCTATTTATACACTAGAGTAAATCTAAGCTTTCATTTTTCAATGTAAACTGTGATCGTGCTTCATATCTTTAGATTTTTCAACCAATTGCGGTTTTTGGTTATCCATACACTGTAACACTTCGAATAGAAATCATTCAACTGATCGCGTACGTATTTTTCTTGCAGTGAAAGTGACGGACTCGGAGGTGCTGCACATCCCTAAGGTATCGCGTCTGCACATGGGCGCCTACCTCTGCATTGCCTCCAACGACGTTCCTCCATCCGTCAGCAAGCGTATAACGCTCAAAGTTCAGTGTGAGTGGAACTTAGCAGTCAAGTCCAGGTAGTAAGTATATTCTACCAATTAGTCAAAGTCCAAAGCCCGATGCGAATAATTGCTTTGTAGAATGACCGCAATTTATTTACATTTAAAATTGACGAAAATTGACAATGTCAATTTGCAAAAATATAATTATAAAGACAAAGCAACAAATGCGATCAATGAGTATTTTCGAGCATCGAGGATGAACCAAAAATGCAAAAATTGCGACAAAAGAGGCGCAACAGCGCCTTAGCGTGACCGCGACACCTGTTGTTCAGCGCGAGTCACCGGCCGCTCGTCAACAACGTTGGCTCCACTAGGCGATAGGCGGGGCCTTGAGTGCTATACAGTTCCTTGTCGCCTTGAGTTGAGTTATTATAATAAAGAGTAGGATATAATCTGGAATAATAATACACATTTCCTGCCATTTCTCATAGCCATCAACCTGTGTAGGCAAATGCGTCTTCAATTCTAACAAATGCGATCGTTTTCGTTTCCTGCTTTTTCAGCAGGACACAAAGACGACAAATGCATTAAATTTAGTAAACGTATTTTATTTAATAATAAGAAAAATGTTAAATTAAATGAATGATATTAAATGGTAAGGTATTTAATATGTTCATATGCTGGCAATATGAACTTGATGCCTAGAAGCCGGTATAGCAAATCTTCAATATTTCTAAAATGATACGCTTAAAATTACCTTTTCATTTGGCAATTACTTTTTCCCAATTATCAATTACCTGTAATTTCACAGACAAATTTATAATTCCCCTCCACATTTTCATTTTAAGGAGTTTTGAAATTCAGAGTAATGAAAACGGACATTAGACTGTATTTACATTGGACTATACAGTAATCCGCATGCTCTTTACGTAGGATTCTGATCTGTGAGGATTATTTACTGTTTTATTCATCAGAAAATAGTATCAAAGCGACATCTGGTTCCTTTAAAATTTAATCAATAATAATTACCAACGTAACAATAATTTCAAATAATTTGATAATTTATATCGTTCAATTTAATAGATGAAAAAATATATCAAAGATGTCTTTTCATAAATCTTCGGCTGAATTATGTTTTACTGCAGAGCTAAATCTTATGCACATATAGAAATTTCACTTTTGCTGTTGCCAATTGTTTGGTTTCAACTCGCAATAGAATTATTGAGCCTTTTAATGAGCCTTTTTCATTAAAAGTAAAAGCAAATGACCACTGCATTTCACACGCTAAAATGGCTCTAGTTTTTTTTTTTATCATAATCATGCATGCGTTTCGGCCTATTTATCAGGCGTGTTTTCATATCACACTCGAGGTTATCTCTGAACGCATAGAGCGAGTAAGTATATAGGGGAGAGGGCGAGACAAGCGGTGCGAACTCTCAAGTGCTCAGTAGATAAGCGCGTCTTTGTACCGCACGAGCGTTACCCCCCTCAGACGCAGCAAGCTGCCCCATACCCCTCTCTAGAATGACTTTCTTGGCACTGGGGCATGATGCCATATTAATTCGAACAACAAAATGGGGCCATCCCGGCCGGGGGTCGAACCCGGGGCCTTTGGATTAGAAGTCCAACGCGCTTTCCACTGCGCCACCGGGACGCTGCCATCCAATTTTGCATCGGCGATATGGAGCTGCGCGAGGGAGCGACGCCCCGCTGTGAGAGGGGAAGAGGGGAGGATACCGCGCCGTGATATCAGAAGCTAGGAAGCTAACTAGAGAGAAATTGTTCTCTATAGTGATGAATTTCAGCTTTCATTCGCGTGTTGCGGTGGAGTTTGTACTAGTGCAGCAGCACGGTACGAGGATAGAGAGGAGTGAGGGAGAAGCGGCGGCAGAGGGAGACGTGGCCCCCGCTCTGCGTGAGTGGGAGTGGGGCGGTGACGTGACGGCCGCAGCCGCTGCTGCTCACGCAGCTGCCGCAGCTGAAGGCCAAACAAGCCGTGTAGTAAACTTACGTCGTTGTTATTCGGTGGAGCGCATTATATTGTTTTCGTTGGCATAAATTTTATTGTATCATCGTTCTAATCTATAACGAAGAAGAAAATTGGATGGGACTCACAAGTCTCTTTCAGCGTTTAGCGTAAGCTACGAAGGCTTCTACAGTTGCTGATGCAGGCTGAGTCAACGTAATCTTCACCTCCGAAGCATTTTCTGATTAAAGCACTTTACAGGTTAAGAAAAAAACAACCGAAATTATTTATTTTCGGCTGTGCCCAAAAGAAGAGCTTGCAAAAATTAATAACAAGCAATCGCGTTTCTCATTTCAGAAAGCTTTGAATTCTGAATTAATTATGTTATTATTCTCTAAAATGTTCATGTAGTTGCACCGGTGCTGTGGATCCCGAACCAACTGGTGAGCGTGAGCCGCGGCATGGACGTGGAGCTCGTGTGCCACACTGAAGCTTTCCCTCGCAGCATCAACTACTGGAGTGGCACCAGCGGCAACATCATACTGAGCAGTTAGTGTCCATAGAAATAATATTATTTAACGTAAATAAGGTGAATGATAAATAAGATGAAGCTTTATGTATAAGTGGCGAAGGGTGAACAAGCATTGTTAATGTTTTGCGACGACAGCGTCGGATTCGCACACAGTTCTCTTCCTTATCCTCGACTACTAACACCACATTGAAGCTGCCATATTAAAGTACGATAAATTTCGAACGCACCACATACACTAATTGCATGGAGTCAACGAAACTAAACTTTAGGTATATTTCTTGTATTTTTTTTGGAATGCGTCTCGCCCTGTGTTTATTCAGAATACGATCTTAATTCCAAATGAAGAAAATGAGATTTACCCTCATGTTGTTGTTGTTGTAATTGCCCATCCTGGCAGTGGCGACTAGGGAGGGGGGGTGATAGGTCAGTTTTTCCTGGCCCTTGGTGCCACTGGTAGTTCTACGACCATCACTGGCTCGCTGACCCGCCAGAACCATTTGATTGCATTACACAACACCCTGGACAAGCCAGGTACTCATTTATCAACCAGAGTTGGATGAATGGCTGAGTTGACCATGAGCTGAGCTTCCCGGTAGAACTTGTCCTCAGTGGGACTCGAACCCGAGCGCTGGGTGCGAGAGACAGAGTCTCTCACCACTGCACCGCTCACCACTGCACCGCCACATTTACCCTCATAGCAATGTCATGCGTAATTGACTCTAGAAAAAACAAAACAATTTATATCTCAGCCTTCGATCGCAAATGCTTTGAATTATTTCAATACGATTTAATATTCGTCGGTGATTAAGTGCATGATTTTGAACGCTAAGACAATAATATTAGTCAATTAGACAATAATTAGACAATTAGTAATGTTAAATTAAAGAGCATTCATTTGTATTTTACAGGTGGCCGCTTCGACAGTATCGTGGCAGAGAACGGCTACAAGGCCTACATGAAACTCAAGATCCGGGACATGCAGCCTGAGGACTTCGGCACCTACGGCTGCTCGGCCAAGAACTCCTTTGGGGAGTCCAACGGAACAATTAAAGTCTACGGTGAGCTGCACATGCTGCTATAAAGCATAAATAATGTACGGTAATTAGGAATTGAAGAAAGGAAACTGTCAGGGTATAAGTATCCTCTGTTATGCATGTGTTTTTTAGATTTATTTTTGTAGAAGTTAGTTTATCCCGTATAAAAACATTAAAATTTCTAAGATATTGGGCTGTTTATTGCCTGTAAATTTACCTCATTTAGATTAAACTAACTTTAATTATATTAAAATAATTATGACTGCGTTGTTGACTACGCAGAAATCCCGAGGGAGCTAATTTACAACGCTCCACCGGCTAGAGAGAACGCCACCGTCGACCCTAACGCTGCTGGCTCCAATACTCGTGGCGCTGGACGGCATTCATCAGGTGTGTCAATTGCGTATGTAAGTAATGCTGATGAGGCCTATTCAGGCCTATTAGGTACTGGTATATATCTTAATTAGGTTTGTCAGTCCAGATATCTATATACCTGGTATTTATATATCTGGTATATAGATATATATATGTCAATCAGGTATGCCAATCACTTACATTAGTAATGCAATTGTGGTATATCAGGCACGTCACTGGTTTATATGAGCGCATATATAACTTTAATATTTTTCCTTAATAATAATATTTGTTCGTCAGGTCAGTGGCAGCTGGCGAACGAGAGCGAGGAGAACGACGATGGTCCGGCCATAACCATCACCCCGGACGGAACGATCAACTACGACGTCCGCAAACTCTTCCGTAACAACGCTAAATCTGGTCAGTTTACAGTCAGGGCCGTTTTACAATATCGTGCAGTGGATCTCGTAGGTGTTTCAATTGTATATTTATTATTTTGGATATATAATTCTGATTAAAAACAGTTACTTTTATTAACTTGTCTTCTGAGGACAGCAGCGTTTAAATTTTTAGCATTAATAATTCTAAGAATAATAGCACAAATTGTGCCACCTAAATCCATTTATGAGGTTTGTTCATCAATATTAAATATCAATAGCAATGATGATAAATTCTTCTCTTAAAATCCTTTAAAGATCTTAAAGATCCTTTCATTCTTTGGACTCGTCTGGTTGTTGTAAATAGTTCGCAATTGCTATTGTAGAGTAACATGTAAACTTTGACTGGACAGAATATGATGTCTGTTGATGAAATTACCTTTTACCTCGCAACAGAGCGCCGAGCACCTAACAGAAGGCCCCCGTCTCTGTCTCACCCTCCGTTCTCCCTCTCGCACTCGCCTGCCCTCGGCTCGCGGTTGCCTCTCATGTGCATCACGTTGGGGGCAGTTCAACGCTATTTCCTCTGGCACTAAATGTCGTCACTTAATGTTATCATCATCATTAATTGATGTGCTTTACTTGAGTGATATTTGCATGATGCGATATTACGTTCTGCCAAACATTGTTACTCATGGTTTTTGCCGAATAGGACTTGTTTAAGATGAGCCATGAATCTGAGTGATGTGGCCAAAAAAAGAATGCTGTGCAGTATATGAAAAAATAAGACACGTAGAGAATGTAAACAAATGATTGAGAATTAAAAAGCGATTTCTGTTTATAATTTTTTTAGTGATTGCATATACTACAGTCAGTTTTTTTTCGTAGCGAACACGCCCTGTGTAAAAGAGGTCTGTGTAATATCAACATCTCATGAGTAGACGCCAGATGGTGAAAACATTATCGTTCTGAAAGCTGCATAATTTCACTGAATGTAACACTGAAATTCGTTGTCGAGATGAACTTAATTTCTGAACCCAAATCAAAACAGCAAAATTTATCTCAAGTAACAATCACATCAAATCCAATCCAATTAAATTATTAAATTTGAATTAACAATTTGGATAAATCAGAAGACATCAAGCTGATTGTTTCAATAAATTCAATTCTAAAAATAGTAAATGTGAAAACCAGTTAGCAGTTATGAAAAACAGTGAGTGAAGAGAACTATAGGAAGGAAAATATTTCGCGCTAAACAAGTGGGAGTGTCAAATCCGGCTCTGTAAGGACATGAGTCACGAAAAAGAACAATGCTGCTGATGCGTTAGAAACCCAGTAAATGATAGGGCGCTGTGAATCATGTAAATATCATGCATCATCTTTACTTCTATCATTGTCAAAGTATTGAACTAAATGTGCAATCCAAGATAGAAAATTAATAACAGATTTAAAATGTGGGTCTAAGTCCCGACTGTTACCTTCAGCAAACTATTCACTTTGGTCCTTTGACTTTTCTCCATAATTACACCGTTTCAGTACTGAAAATTTATAAACCGACGATTGTCATTGCTGTATAAAGTCTTAAATTATTACATCGAGGGCGAAGGGCGTAAAAAGTAAGTTTAATTACTAAATCTGAGGGATATTTATTTACTTATGAGGATAGTACTTTATTTAACGTTCCTGAAAGTCGGGTCTCAAGGTAGTCTTTTGGTCCATGGAATTCATCAGACTCACTAAATCAAATGTCGAACAGGCTTTATATTTTTTGAAGGTAAAGAGATATGCAAAGTATTCTAATTAATTTATCACAAACTCGGGGCATAAATCTATTTTTCAATTTCCGTCAACACCTACATTAAGGGAGTATAGAAATGAGTCGAGCCCAAGTCGATATTTGACAGTTCTTAGGCTTTCATACATTTGAACAGGAAATTGGACGCTGGAAAATTTCATAATCAATTACATTTAATATACGTTCGTTTGTAATGATATTCGTCTGTGTTCATATTCATGGGCATCTTGTTAAAATTCTCAGAAAAGAGTTGTTAATTATCCTCATAGAATGAATGAATATTTAGAGTGCATCTGCCCATTCGTTGAACATTTCTTACAATTTGTTTATTCTGGCTATATAATCTGAAGTTTTTTTGTTGGCTAAAGCCGATTTGGTTTTACAGTTATTATTATCTGAAGTACAGTGCGTCCCTAAATCTTTAATTGCTCTTTTCTAAATGCAGATTATATACAAATGTTAAATTAGCTGAGCAGCCAGAATTTAATGAAGTGCAATAGACATGAGTCTCATAACATTTTTTATTATTACAATGATATGTTTTTCGATACTCATTTCCCAAAACTTAAAAAAGGAATGTGTGGTCTTTATGAATATTCCGGAATTATTCGAGCTAAATAACATTTACTAAGTCATTCAGCACAAAAATCGTATAAAGTAAACTGTTTTACTGAAAAAAATATCCGTATTATTTGAAATGAACTGTACCAAATTCGTACGATTTTATATACGTATTACTGTACCAAATACTGCATTCTAGTCCTGCTTTCAAAAGTAGGACTATATATAGTAAAGTTAATAGGCCATGAATATAGGTATGGGAAAATTGATACTTGCATCCTGAATAGGAATGGCATATCAGTCTTGCCTTGTTAATAATAAAGGGCAATCATTGAAGAATGTGAACATTCCCAAGCGTCTCTAAAATAAACATGTAGACTGAGAGCTTATTTCCAATCTCTTTCCATAGCTGTTACGAATGAGCTATATAGTCTAGTGTCAGTTCGTTGATAAGCTATATTTAGGAAATGCGGTCAAGATCATGAAAGTTTCATGCACGGCATCCCTCATTGTAACGCATGTCCTTCAAGTTGAAACTTCAGAACTTTACAGGACTAAAAAAATATAAGCGCAGTCCCAATTCCAATCAAGAATGGAAAAATGGTTGCAGTTTTAAAGTAACAATTGTATCTACGAGTTACAGAAATTAAAACCTGCTTTTAAACTGTCAACAAAAATGTCAACGGCAATCATGCCAGTCTTCTCCTCTTACAATCAATGTGCTTACTGCAAGCAATTCAATTGACTTTTGCGAAATTTTCAACATGAACAGCTATTCTAAGCTGACCGTAATTCCAAAGATTTGCGAGATGCATATTATTCATTGTAATTAGTAGTCAGTTGTGTAGCAGTAGAATTAGCTTGAATTCCTGTACGAACATGTAACGTTTATTAAGTAAAGCAGTGATTCAGAAAGCATTTCAAATTCCCCCCCTCCCAAAAATATGATCTTTTATACCGTTAAGTACAAACTCGATATGTGAAATAACAGAATGTAAACAATATTTTCTAGTATGTTGTATGGAATCGCAATCATACAAAAATACAATAATTTAATCTTCAATACGATGAATTCTGTATCGGCGACACAAGCAATCGAATTAGAAGATTAATAAAAATTTTATAAGTTGTAACGATGTATGATCACATAATATTGTAAACGACTGCTTCCTAAAAAGATTTGCTATTTTGTAGGAAAACAACACATAACACAGCTATTTATGTAAGTGTATGATGGGAAGAAAATTTTATTGAATTAATTTGATGATGAAATATTCCGCGCTAGAAAGAGTCAAGAGAAGAAAGCCGCTGATAAATTATACAACGAATAGGAGCATCAAATTTTATATGATTATATGTTATGATTTTATAGCTTCAAAAAAGACACTTTTGATAAAAATTTTTACGAGTACATATGCTTGATCGTTTTGTATAATTATCTGCCCTAAAATTTTGAACAAAATTACTTCCAAATTCTGGTAAATCGTTGCAAAACTATATAAAACATAAACTCTCATTAACTTGAAAATGTCGAACAAATACACTATTCTTGCATACAATCCCATTCGTTTTCACGTAAAATATACGGATTAAACAAAGAACTCGTAGTTATGTTAAAACATATCACAAATAAACAGAAGAATATATTTCTCACGGGTGAACACACAAAGAATCAATCGGAAGAAAAACAGTTTGAGTTTGGACTCTTGACAGGGCACTCGGCTCATGGCGGCGCTTGTGATGTGCTGGACTACGTGACCAGCATCCTGCGTCCGCATGCTGATTACTAAAGCAAATTTTTGACTCTGCGGTGGTTACGTGGCCTCACTTCCGAAACTAGAGTACGCTATTGAACCTTTTCTTTGAAGCGAGCAAATTATCTCAGTAGCCAGCAAGATTCTGCACTAGATGCTTGGTTATGTTCGTATTATTTTATATTGATTCTGCGTGCGACAGTTGAAAGCTCAATCAAGGAAATTTCAAGATGATCGTCTGCCTCATGCACTGGATTTTCGGTTCGGTTACCTAGAACACTAGGCTCTCTGTAAATGATGCAACATCAGACTTCGTACAGACAACGTATGTTATTTATATATGATCTGCATGGCCTTAAAACATTTTGTGGGTGTTTTGTCTAGCAAAGCCAGAGTATAAGAACGTAAAATCAAGGCGTGGGTTACAAAGCACCTATAAGTGGCGCACGAATCATCAAAATAACCAGTCACAGAGGGCTGTCGAACATCCCGTGAGGGTATGAAGTATTTATTTTTTCATATCTGTAATACAGATTACTTTAAACAATACAACCCGGGGTCCATTGAGAGTCTGAGGGCGCGGTGAGAGTTGGCAAGTGGCCTCTTGGGAAATCTGCCCACTCGAGGACAGGGTGGGAATTGTCACATATCGGGTTAGGGCTTCAGGCTGTGGGAAAGGCAGCTGAGGCATGAATGCAGGACTGGCGGTTTGGTATCTCATTCATTTAGATTTTGTAGAAACTTTTAAGAAACATGAGCTGTATCCCGAAGATGTATATATATATACTTTTAATTCAAAAGGAAATCATGCTGCCCTCTTTACAGCCCTCAGCCAGGGAGGTGAAATTGAGGTAGTTGTATGTAAAATGTTTCATTTGGTTACAAAATATCTTTGCACCAGCCAAGCCGAAAGTAAATTGATGTTGTAAAAATTTTCGGGAAATTAAACTAGGAATTTTATGCTTGACACTACTACATCCAGTTGATTTCCAAGGCCTGTTCCCTGTTGATATCTGTCCGAGTTTTATTCTTACATGTTGACGACACAAAAAATTCACATGCTGACAACTATTTAATTTTTTAATTGATTAGTCAGAGAATGAAATAAAAAATGAAGATCTTTCTAGACATTACTAATTTCATTCTTATTATTTTGCCATATTGAACAAGAACGTTTTTTCATGAATTCGCAAATCATAGAAAATAATGTAACCATTTTTAGGTAACTGTTCGATTGTTTCGAGCATTGAAAGAGAAGCTTTTTTTAGATCTGACATAGGAATCAATGTATTTAGCGCATTTTCTCATTTATGGAAAAAATGCACTAATGTGCTCGCCATGTCCGTCTGTCTGTCTGTCCGTCCGTCTGTCAGTCCGTCCGTGACCTCAAGTCTTCGTCGAAGAGAAAATGCGCTCTGTCACTCACTGCAGTGAGTACTGAGTTACATTTTTTTGCTTCTTTAATGGACGAAAGAAGCGAGTATGTGAGAAAGTGAAAAAAATGTCCAGAAAATTGAAAGTTCAATATACTTCCAAATCCTTTTATTGCAATAGAAAAGACGGCTCAATTTCAGGAATGTCTATGTCTATAAAGTTATCAACAAAGAGATCTGCATGTTAGAAAGCGAGGATTAGAAATTTAATTTTGAATTATACGTTGAACGTACTCCTTGCATCAGTGGTCCTCACGTCGAAATTCTACTCTAGATGCAATCGTTACTGATTTGTATGAACTTCTTCTTATTGAGGAGAGAAATTATGTCTGAGCAGTACATAACGTAACAAAGCGATGCCGACGCAGAAGAGTAGGCCTGATTTGGCTTGTCGCTGATTCTTGTACTTTTCGTGACTTGTTCACAGAAGATCCAAAAGCATGTCATTTGAACGGATTTTTTCATGACTGACGATAGTTTGAAATAGCTACTAGACTTACACCGGGTTCGATATGGTGCTGGGCTTTTCTAGTCAGAACATATATTTTCCATAGCTTTATCTAGTCAGTTCTTGAACGCGTTTATTATTTTTTTATTATTTTCTTAAAATGCCTAGCAAATTACGGACCAGGCAATAAGTCCAGACGAAGCTATGCAGGAGCATATGTTCAGTCTTAAAATGCCTAGCAAATTACGGACCAGGCAATAAGTTTAGCAGCTATCTCAATCAATCGTCAGTTATGGAAAGGTCGGGTTCCAAAGGCGCGGATCCCTTGTGAATCAAGTCACGAAAAATTCAAGAATCGGCAACAGGCCATGGGCCTAATTCTTCAACGCCGACACTTCTATTCTATTCTATTATACTCGGAGCGTCAACAATTGGCGAGGAAGTTATGTAAAGTTGCCAACATTCAGAAGAATTTTATAGATTTATTTTGGTGTTCATTTATGCATACAATTTGATCAACTAACAAAAATTTTACCGAGCATACTTAGATATTTCGTTTAGGTATCGACTTGGATGATAAGTACCGCCTCCAGAAATTAAACTAAACGGCACTCGGCAGTAGTTACATCTTCACTCACAACCCATAGTACAGCTGACAATGATACTGAGCGCTCAGCGATGTAGATTAATTCCATTGCTAATAAAAGATTTATATGTAACACCTCAAACTAACTCGTTCAAATAAATAACAACAACAGGAGAAGACGTAAGTTCTAAGTGCATGTCTATAATTTGAACAATT